CTTTATTTCGATAGTCCACTTTAGACATTCTATTAACAGTAAGTAACTTTGCAACTACATGTCAACTAGCAGTTAGTAGAGTATTAGTAGACTGTCTGCTTAATGTCTTCTAACACTTTCTTTGTCAACATTCTACTAACCCTAAACCTACCCTAACAGTCTACTCTGAGTGTTAGTAGACATGTAGATGCAAATTAATGAGAATTAGTTGACATGTAGTTGACATGTAGTTACAAAGTTACTTATAGTTAGTAGAATGTCTAAAGTGGACTATCGAAATAAAGTGTAACCAAGTTTACATATCAACGATACGTAAACATTTGAACAGGATAATTTGTTTAAATTAAGTTATTTTGTCTATTTTGGGAAATATGTAAATACCTGTTATGCAGCCTTTTTGAGATTTTGAAAAGTGTTTGTAAGTGTGTAAACTCATGAGCGAAACTATGTGTGTGTTGATACCTGAGTTGTTGCATAAGGTCTTCTCCCTCTTTAATGACGTTGAGTGTGGCCTCCAGCGTGGCTGTCTGCTGCTGCTGAAACTGTTTGATCAGCTCCTGAACCGAATCCACCGAATCAGAACAAACTTCTTCCAGAAGCTCCTTCTGCAGGTCCTCCATCCACGTCCACAACTGAAACACACACACACACATATATACACACACATGAACAGGTGTGCAGACTTTCAGTCACAGTATTTCCTCATGATATTCCTCCTAAATATGATATAACTTCTAAACTTCCTGTCCTTTTACATTTTGATTGAGACATTATTGGTATTTTATTAAGTTGTTTTACTATCAATTTAGGTAACACTTTATTTTAAGGTGTCCTTGTTACGCATGTTACATGAACTTACTATCACAATAACAATTAATTATGCATAATTACATGCAAGTAACCCTAAGCCAAACCCAATCCTAACCCTAACCATATAGTAAGTACATGTAGTTAATTAATATTACTCACTACTTATATGTATAATTACACTGTAACAAGTACACCTTAAAATAAAGGGTAACAAACATTTATTATGCACAACAGAGCCCAAACCTGACCCATATACAAGCACAGAAACACACTTACTCCTGCAAAGACCTAAAAAAAGTTTCTAAACTTCTCTACAGACTCAGAGATGGAGTGACCTGTCTGCACAGATTATAATGCTCGTCTAACAATAATCTGTCCTGAATCCAATATTAGAAAGCAGCTGGAAATATACGCTCTCATTTCTCATGCTGCTTCCATTTTTAACATTTCAGTCTAAAAGATTAAACTATAGAAATGATACTATATTCATTACAAGTCAGAACAAAATTCTCCCCAAACACTGGAGTGCTGGGTGATGTAGGTTTGATCCTTCAGAAATCATTCGATTATGCTAATATTTTAAGATATGGAGCTCCATTATTATCAATTGTTATTGTTGCTTAACTATTAATAATGTTTCTTATTATTATTATTATTAATGTTGGAGATATTTTTTGCTGAATCCTTGCTTACTTACCCCAAATATTTTAATAGTAGTGTATCATGTTTTCCACAAAAAAATAAGCAGTAAAAAGTGTTCCAATATTCATAATGATAATTAATGTTTCTTGAGCAACAAATCAGCATATTATAATGATTTCTGAAGGATCTGAAGGAGTAATGATGCTGAAAATTCAGCTTTGCATCATAAGAATAAATTACATTTGAACAAATATTCAAATACAAGACAGTTCTTTAAAATTGTAATGTTTCACAATGTTGCTGTTTTTACTGTATTTTTAGTCAAATAAATGGTGCCTTGGTGAGCAAAAAAAAAAATTAAAATCCCTAGATTTAATTCCAAATAATGTCCATTAGCCAATATGCTATTTGGCTATGCAATTAAATGAACATATGCATTTCAGCAATGTGTATTGTAATTTTTTTTTCAGTTTGCAACCATAAAAAAAATAATAGAAAAAAACATGCTAACATGGAAAAAATGGAGCCCTTAGATATGAGCAGAAGAGATAATTTGTCTGATTTTACATAAATGAAATTAAAGAACTGTTAAAATGTTGTTAACTGTTATCATGATGATTTGTGTGCATCTTGTTTTCTAACTTCTAACTGTGCCGACAACCAAGAATCAGCAAACTGATGCAGTGAGTACAGGGTGCGAACTACGGGGGAGCTAGGGGGAGCTCGGCTCCCCTTAATAAGACATGGGCTCCCCTGAAAACGTAGTAGTGCATACACTTGTAGCTGTTATGTATCTTTGTAGGTCATTGTAAGCCCTCTTTTGAGGCACGCACAAGCCAATCTTGCTGGTGGATGAAGTTCCTGAACAGGACCAGAGAATATCAGTCACACAGGCATGTTTGATAAACACAGATCCCTCTTTACAGTGTTAACACCTCTGAACAATGAATTGCCATGACCTTTGTGATCACTTGATAAAGACTTCTAAAAATGCTATAGAATTCCCATGAGATTTTAAGAATTTATAATCAATCCCTGACATTCCCAAGTTCTCCATGAGCGTGGGAACATCAGCTCTGCCAGATGCAGAATGAGAGTCTATAATGATGAATAAGGCGTTTCCAAATCTACAGCGAGGAGGCTGGTCATGTTTAGCTTTAACATGTTGCAGGCGTAGAGCAGCTCTACAGGAGGATGTGATACTCATGATAGATGATTCTCCCAACAGGGGCTTGAGACACACTCAGGAATAGTATTCATATGAATCATACACAAGAGCTCTGAACAGTAACACATATGACAAGATTTACAATACAGGAAAAATCACCCACATTAGGATAAAGCTAAACACAATGGATACATTAAACCAAACCGCGCAGCAAAGACATACAGATATTCCTTACAGAAATAAACACGGCCTACATGCCACTTCAGGAGCTCATTTCTCTTTACATTAGTTTCAAACACTGTTGACATAGTTACAAAGCACAGTGGTGAATGTGATGTTGCCATCTTTGTGGTTTCCATAGTAACTGTATCTGCGGTTAATCTTGTCACAATATGAATTATATATTCATATATATATATGAAGAGTTAATTTACAAAAACCGATAAATGGCACTTTAAAAAAAAAAAAGAGCTGATTGCCATTCATTATTCTCCACATATAGCGCGATCTGAACCCTAAACACGTTTTGTCAAAAAAGCAGGGTTTTTTTTGGCATCGCGAGTTCACGTTTTACTGCAGAAGCCGACAAGCGCCCTTGTTGTTTTTGAACAGAAGCCGATAAGTCCATTTTAGCGAATCGGCACGCTGTATCCAGGTCAGGTGACAAGGCTACTTTCACTTTGAAAAGACGTGCTAGCTGAGAGGAGTTTCGTCAAAGCTGACTAAAAGTGATCGAGGATGGATAATTTCGACAAACTTGATGAACCTGTGATATCTTCAGGGCGAAAAAGGAAAATAAAAGCTGAAACGTTTTCACGGAAGCTTGCAAAAGCAGCGCGTTACAATGGTGAGGGAAAAGCTCCGTGTATTGCGTGTAATCACATCCTTACAGTTTATGATCAACAAAGTTTGTCAGGCATCTACATTGTCATATGAGGAGATTACAAAGATTAAACGAGTGTTTTTTAAACTCTAAAACATGAAATGTGCAGTTTTCTGCTTTTGGCAAAAAACGACTGTTGGAGTTACCTGCTTTTCCTATACAACAAACTTTTAATACGTAAAAAAAACATACTTTCAATGAACTTTAATTTTGTAAATTACCTGTATTTGTTTAAGTTATTATTACTTAATCAAAACAACACAACTGCAGTTTGATTGATATTACTTGGAATGCGCAATAAAAAAAACGGGATTTCTGAAAAAAATAAGTTATCGTCTGATTTTCCACACAAAAAGTCTGAGTTATCGGTTTTTGCAAATTAACTCTTCATACATATACATATATATATATACTGTATATATATATATATATATATATATATATATATACAGTATATATATATATGTATATGTATGAAGAGTTAATTTGCAAAAACCGATAACTCAGACTTTTTGTGTGGAAAATCAGACGATAACTTATTTTTTTCAGAAATCCCGTTTTTTTTATTGCGCATTCCAAGTAATATCAATCAAACTGCAGTTGTGTTGTTTTGATTAAGTAATAATAACTTAAACAAATACAGGTAATTTGCAAAATTAAAGTTCATTGAAAGTATGTTTTTTTACATATTAAAAGTTTGTTTTATAGCAAAAGCAGATAACTCCA